GTAAAGGGCAGCCGGGGCTGCTAAAATATATTGTAGAGGCCAATGTATTATCTACCGAAATTGCTGAAGTTCACGTTTCCTTATACTGTCATTTAAAATTAGACCGTTTGCTCAAATAGTCTCTTCCCACCGCGGCTCCGAGGGTCTTATTTCGCCGATCGCCACCGAGCTAAAAGCTCAAATGTCAACTGGCAGTCGCGAAAAATCTAACCTGCTACTTTGAGTGCACAGTGAACAGGTACATTATCGTCCCCCCCCCCCGTGACTCTCGCTCTACTGTGAGATGCATGTAGCGGCAAATAGTTAGAGCCAGATATCCCGACACTACCAATCAGAACGCTGTATTTCGTCCACCCGGATTATTATAACCATTTAAATTCAAAATAAACGGTTCCGTGGGGTTAATGTCTGGTAATGTTAACCAGTTCCATCAATGACAACATTACACCACCGGATTACAACTTAAAGATTGTGTATTTCATTTATTCCAAAAATAATCAAGAGTAACAAAACTGCAAGGCGTGTACTGCATTGGAGAATCATTCAAGAATTATTTTAGCAGGAAGAATTGATTTTCATAGACAACGAGAATCATTATACCGCAGTTAAAACATGTCTCCATCACCGTGAGAAACCACACCACAGGTTATATTGGCACCAGACGTAATCAGCAGAAAATGGCAAATAATTATCACCAAAGAGGCAAATTAGGTCATTTCATTAATTGCGTGAATGACTGTGTGCACAACTAGTGTTTAGGGTATAGAATATAAAAATAGATCTCTAACGAGCCGTTTAGAGGCTGTAGGGAAATGAAAAAGACCTGAGTGGCATCGCCAAAGACCCCAAAACACCAGAGAAAGACGATCCATGCAGCATTATTACAAATCACCGAGTCACGCTTCAGACATCCAGAGACGTAGAACCTCGGGCCGGACCATCAGCTCCAGGTGGGATCATACTTGGTCCACCCTGGAGGCGGGGCCAGGTAGATCCTGCGCCCTCTGGAGAGGAAAGTGACCACCCCTCTGTACCCGGTCCTCGGGACTCCAGACTTCAGGTCGTCCATGACGCCCAGGTTTCTGGCCAGCAGCTTGAAGCTGTCCTTCTTGGAGTATTGAAGGCGGACGGGCCCAGAACCTTGGAGCTGCCCCTGCTTCACGTCTTCATAGGTCACCACGGGAGCGCTGTAGACCTCCTTCTCGAAGCGCTCCCTGTACGCCTCCTCCTTCAAGTAGCTCAGGTCCAACTCGGTGAAAGGCACAAACTTGTTATTCAGCTTAATGTATCGCAGGTACTTGTCGTAAAACTGCCCCAGGCTCACTCCTTTCCGGCCGAAGGTCAAAGTTCGCGAGACCTCCGGCCGTATGCAGGCGCGGCCGCGGCGCTGCTCCGGCTGACGCATCCAGTCGTCCCAGAAGGCAGCGGGCCACTTGGGCTCTAGCTCCTCTCACAGCTCCGCGAGGAGCATCTACCCGAGACCGGGGAAGAAGTCCGTCCGGTAGAGCAGGTCCGCCCGGCCCGGATCCACGAAGCCGTCCCGGCCGTTGTCGTTCCAGGCCGACACGCACCACAGGCTGGGGTCGGACCTCAGCACGGGCAGCAGGGCTTGGAAGTACTCGAAGAAGTCGGGCGCCACCTGGGGTAGAAGACGAATAGCTACGTTGAGTTAAGTGACCCGGCGAGACGCAGTGACATTTAACGGCGACGCCGCTGAGTTTACCTCGAGGTCGTCCTCCACAATCACGGCGGCGGAGTAGGAGAGGGTCTTGAACACCTGGTTGAGAGCCCACCGGTAATGCCTGGAGATTTTGTAGTAACCCTGAAACTTCCGGTGTTCCGGTCGCACCGCCACGTCCGACAGGTCCGGCTGCTTCAGGTGAATCACCTGGCTCCCGTAGGATCGGATGGCCTCGGCGGTTTCGGCGTGCCCGCAGTCCTGGCTCACGACGATGGGGAAGAGCTCGGCGGACGGACGGAGCTGCAGGAGCTTGTCCAAGCAGCGCCTCACCGTGACCCGGTTGCAGGCGATCACCAGGATGGGGACGACGGGGGAGGGCGGCGCCTTCGGCTCCCTCAGCGATTGCTGCTTCTTGATCTGCAGCAGGATGTTTTTCTGCAGCTCGAGCTCCTTCTCGAAGGTGTCGGCCATCCGCATCACGTCCCCCACCACGTCGCCGGTGGGGCCTTCGGCCGCGTCCCCGTGCGCCCGGTCGGGCTCGCCCGGCTGGCCGGGGGCCGGGGGCCGCCCCCAGAGCAGGAGCACCAGTATGGCGTTCCAGGTCACGAACAGGAGCGTGCCGCAGAAAATGAGAGAGCCTCTCTTGCGGAGCATGGCCCAGGAACTCGGGGGGAGGAGGGTGGAGCAGGGGGGCCGGGGCCGAACGGAAGGGGGTGGCTCTTCTTGCAGACGATAGGAAAGGGCGAGGGCAGCAAGTTTATCATCACAGGCATGCGATCACAGGTGTGGCGCCACGCGTTGCTGGCTCACTGCGACGTGGAGAAAGAACAAGTGACACCACCGGGAGGTGGAGGTGGAGGACAGGAGTCATCTTTGGGTTCTGGCAGAGCCTCAACCTTCAATGTCCTCTCGCTCCTGAAACCAATAAGAACACAGTGTACTCTTAGAGAGAGAAAAACACACACAAAAGTGGAAACAAACGTGTTTAACAAAGAGAGAAGAAGAGTTCCAACCAGGAGTGCCTGCTGGCTCGCGCGCGTCCGCTAGTTGCTCCACATGAGCCGACGAGTGATGGATCAGCGCCTGATCGATCCTCCCTGATCACCTGTGGCTGCCTCGCTAAACACGCCCCCCCGCAGCCCGGGACCCCCCGCGGGAAGGAGCGCGCGGTGCTTCCATGTCCCCGCGGCGGACAGCTCGCTGCGAACACCCCGCGAGGAGGAGCGTGTGGAAATTTCGCCCTCACCCCCCCTCTCACTCTCAGCGAGCCTCCTTCTCGTGGCCGGTTCCTCCCGGTGACAGCCGGCGAGCCGACGGCAGCCCGGGGGACGGTTCGGCGCCGGCGGGCGGGCGAGGGGGGGGCGAGTCTCCTGTTCTTAGTTTCCCCCCGCTGCAAAAATTAAAAAAATCAACTTTTCCCCAGCTCTGGTTCTTCTTCTGCTTCCTGCCAAGGCTGGAAGAGGAGGACGTAACAGCAACACGACGACTTCCTGGGCAGAGCGCAGTCAGGGGAAGTCCCGCCCCCAGCTGTCAGCTCGAGGGATGACGTCACGCAGAAGTCGGAGCGGCTGTTCGTGGAGTTTATCAGGAAACGGATTCCTTCCTCCTGGCCTCGGATACAGTTATCTATATATGCATATATACATATACACACACACACACACATATATATATATATATATATATATATATATATATATATATATATATATATTTATATACATGTCTACTGTCACGCACCAACCGCCAAGACAAATTCCTTGTATGTTTGGAATTTGTACGTTTTATTACACATTCATGCAGCAAAAAAACTTCAAAGTGAAAAATACAGATTTTTTTTTCTAAATGGCGCTTATTTAATTTAATTCATTTCTTATTTTTTTACAACCTGCTCAGTCTTGCACATTTTCCCTTACCTCATTTCTGTCCTATTTTTATTTCATGTACATTTATGTAAATATTGTATTTTTATTTTTATTTAAAAAATTCCAGAAAAGGCAAGCATAAGAATTTCAATACACAGTGGGTCTGTATTTGACGATACAAATCTTTGAATCTTTAAATAACAATATGTCATATTTCATAGGCTGATTTTTAAAAATTTGTGAGTCTAGACTTAAAGAGTGAAAAGTACAATACATCTCACTAAAATGTAAAAAGTAACATAAAATAGTAAAACTCAAGTGACATAAAATTCTAAGCAGACCTGAATGCCAAATAAATTCCTCCACCACAATTAGTTTACGAAGACAGATATAATAAGTACTTTGATTAGTACATTTTGCTGACAATACTTCATTGTTTTACTGCTTGCACCAAAGTAAAATATCTCTCTTAAGTGCTGTAGGAAGAACACGTGTTCTTCTGGTAATTCCTCCACATTTATACACTTTTTACTGTATTTTAATCTTTCTGTTTCTCAGGTGTTTATTCTCTCAGTACTTTTCCCCAAAGGAAGAGAAATGCTCCGATGTGTATAAGCAGCGGTGGGTAAAAGTATCATGTGAATGTGCCGTTACATTCGGTACTTTTTGGGCTTAAAATAGTCAATGTTCTTACTCAGCAGTTCCACTTAAGTCAGGTTTATTTAAGCAACAAAGAAGAACTTGTGCAATACAAAGACAACTCTTTATGGAGCAATATTTTCTTAATTTGCAATGTGATAAACATAGTAAATAAACGTTTAGTCATTGGTTTTTAAATATTAAACACAGCACATTGCATTCCACACATGGATCCGGTCATTTGAACTTTGGGCTAACTGAGCGCGAGCGAAAGGCTGCAGGAAAGCTTCACGTGAGGGAACTGATTTTCTCTCCCTGCTGTTTGTTGTGGTTGTTCGTAGTTTTCCACCCATCGTGTTTTTGCTTTCTCCCTGAGCACATCGTGAACGTATGCCGCCAAACAGGTTGGCCCACCACCTCCACCCTCCTCCACTGTCTGTTTACACCACCCGAGGGTATCAGTCTGAAGACATGCGGGTTCTGTTTTCACTCCACAGAGGACAAATGGACAGGAAGTCTTTCTTCTGTTTTGGAAATACTGACCAGTGGGCCTTCAAAGTCTCTGAAAAAAGTATGCAAATGAGAGAAATGACGTGTGATACGAGAAAAGTTCCTATATACAAATATATAAATCATGTATGTACAAGGAGGCGCACGGCAGAGTTTAGCTCATTGTTTTCCTTCATCGCCCCCCCCTGGACAGAATGCGTCCCAGGGTCCAGCCCCTCCTCTACCGAGAGCGCCGAAGGACCACTGAGCATCCTCCTCCGGTGCCCCAGGGGCCAGCTCACCCCGGGGGGCGGTCGGACGTCTGGTTCCCCCCGGGGAAGGGCCTCCGGTTGACGGACAGGCTGGGGATGATGACAAAGGCCAGGACCCCCGCCAGCATGAGCACCACGGTGATGGTGATGACGGACGCCACCGCCGCGTAGTAGCACCGGTCCGAGCGGAACAGCCTGCGGAGGCGACCTCTGACCCTGTTGGGAGGCCTGCCCACGTCCACCACCGTGGTGGGGGCCACTCCCTGCTCCAGAGCACTCAGGTCGCTGTGCCCCCCTGCCGGGACCGCACCGCCCTGGATCTTGCTGGGCTGCCGGACGCTGTTCTTGTCCCGGCCGGCGGGAGGGGGGTTCTTCAGCTGCAGCTTCCCTTTGCTGCGCTTGAAGCGGATGGAAAGCACCCTGCGCATGTCCGGGGGCAGCCTGCCGAGGACGTCCTTGTTGGTGCCCAGGCGGGGCAGGTCCCGGCCGTGGGGCAGCTCGGTGGGCTCGCGGCACACCGGGCAGCTCAGCGTCTTGAGGCGGGCGGAGGTCACGTTGATGCGAGCCAGGCACTCCAGGCAGAAGGTGTGACCGCACGCCAGCAGCTTGGGGGTCCTGAAGATGTTGTCGTAAGAGCAGAAGCACACGGCGCACTCGGTGTCCTCCACCTCGTCCTCGGGGGGCTTCACCCTCCCGCTGGCGCTCCCTCTGCCGTCTCGGCCCCGGGCCTCCTCGCTCCTCCCCCGCCGGCTCCGGCCCCCCCGGTGTCGGTCCCGCTCTCTGCCCCGCCTCTCGTCCTCCCTCTCGGAGTGGGTGCTCCTCGACCTCCTCTCCTTGGGGGGCTTCTCCTTCTTCCACGTGCCCTCCTTGCTCCTCCTCTCCGTCTGGCCGAGCTTGGGCTTGACGTTGGGGGGCGGTGCGGCTGCGCGTCCCTCCCGGTCCTCACTCATGTTGCTTATGGATGGATGGGTGGGTGGAGGGAGGGAGTCTGGGACCTGGGGGGTATTTAAGGATGTGATCGGTTCAGCGCTCACAGAAACAGGCGGAGCAGGAAGCAGACTGAAGGAATTCACCGTGATGAAGCAATAATGTCTCTGCCCAACATCGCTTTTGTATTAAAACGCTATCTGCACAGTCACGAATGTGTCGCTGTGTTTGTTTAACAGGCTTTCCGGAACAGAAGCCATCAGTAAACACGAGAACTGAGGAACTAAGTAAATAAAGATCTTGATTAGCTGGCTCAGGACGCCACTTGTTGTGTCCCTCGGCTCCTTTGTTTTCACTGTTGTATTCTAAAAAAAGATCATATACCTCCGACTAGAGTCGGGACTTTTTCTGTTCATTAAACTTAACAGAAACCTTTTTTATGTTCTTCTTCACAAAGCACAAAGGGGAACCACTGGAAATAACACACTGACCTGCTGAGGTGGAGGAACGTCGGGTGGCGTCGTCAGGTGGAATAACGCTGCTGCTGCGGACCGAGGTGCTGGAAACATGCAGCAAACTTCATCGCTGGAGGAAGACTCAGCTTCACTCTGCAGCTCTTCTCCTTCCTCTCATGTTATTTTTCTAGTGGTGGCAAAGCGCTGCCTCCTCCTCCTCCCCCTTTTCCTCCTCCTCCTCCTCCCCAGTCTGACCAGTTGGACCAGCTCAGGTGAGCCAGCTTTCTATATCTGTTTATATGCGATTTGTAGGTATTTGGGTATCTGATGCATGTGGGTGTGTGTGTGTATTATTACATTACAGCTCATTTAGCTGATGCTTACATTTTTAACCCATGGCTTTTTACATTTTAGTATTTTTTTTGCCCGGGAAGCAATTAGGGGTCAGGTGTCTTGCTCAGGGACACTTCGCCGAGCCGCAGGGGCTCAAACCGCCAACCTCGTGGTTCCCAGCGCTCCCGCTCTACCCCCTGCACCACGTCGACATGCGCCCCACATATACGGACGCACGCTGCGCCAGAGAGGACGCGGTGCATTAGGTTGGTCGACGGCATGCGGGAACCCAGCAGCGGCTGTTTGGTGAGCGGGTGACACGCGGCCCGGTGCCTTCGGTGGTTCTGCTGCGTGATGTGAATGAACTCCACCTCGACTAAAGACTAACAAATTGTAGCACTTAAATTGTACTTGTAACGTCACTCATCTATAGCAAATTGGAAATTGGCTTATTTGAGGAAATTGCACTTTGTTTCTTGTTCTCCTGAGTTGGTACCCTGTGGTTGAAATGCACTTATTGTACGTCGCTTTGGATAAAAGCGTCCGCTAAATGACATGTAAATAATGTAAATCTAATGAATGAAGCGCAGCAGCGTCCAACGAGAACAGCAGGGCTACAAAGACGCAGCAGCAGTTACACCCTCTCCCTCTTGGAATGACAATGACTAAGCACGTTCGGGGCGGAACGCATTTAAAACAACAGCGGAAGAAGTTTTGTTTGCTTTGTCGTGCTCATATTTCTGCATCGGTTTAAAAGTTGAAAATGAGCAACATGTTGGGAAATGTTTTAAACAGTTGCATTAAAGACGACAAGTCGTTCTCTTTGGATGCTTTGATATTGATGTTGTCACTTTGTTGCACAACTTCACCAGCGTGACTGGAGGAGCACATTCGATCCAACATAAATATAAAACATGGAACAACGTCAGTGAACCTCCAGGAGGAACCCCGAGCTGAGAGCTTGGAAGGAATCATAGAAGACTAGATGGAACAAAACAAGTGGTTGTAAAACTTTATTCCTGAAAAATAAAAAGACAAGGAGCCACACGCAAGAGGGAAACGAGCTCTATGGAAATGAGTCTGTTGCGCTTCATGGAGGCAGCGTGCTGCTTTCACTAATACACGTTTTGACTCCGCTGGAAACGAGCCGTGGACCCACTCAGTCACATCCAGTGCGTCCGTGTTTGCTTCTTGTGGTCCGGCTTATGATTAACCCGGTGACTCCCGTCCCCACGGGGTCCACGGGGTCCAAGCGGCTTCAGCGGGAAAACCACTGGAGGCAAACAGAGCTGCAATCCCACGCTGTCCTTTATTATGTCAAGTCTTTTCTGGGCTCTCTCACTGGCCGAGCTCCTCCTTCGCTTTGCCCTGCTTGCGAGGCATCTTCTTGCTGCTGCTGTCCTCCAGCTCTTTGCTCTTGTAGTAGTGAGGAGCCACTTCCAGCAGCCAGCCGCTGTCTATCTCAATCACCTGTGGGGGGAAGAGGCATTGAATCATTTTCCAGGAACACTTCCTCCTTATTATGCTGAGGCATTGCTGTGGATGACCTCATCGCTGACCGGTCTGCTAGTGAAAACCTCCAACTAGCATCTCCAAGTCTCTCCTCGCCACCCGTCTCATGCACCCCTCGCCGCCCGTCTCATGCACCCCTCGCTACCTGTCTCATGAACTCCTTGGTGGTGAACACCAGCTCGTGGTAGATGAGCCAGCGCGGCTGCTCCTCGAACAAAGAGCTGTTGGGGTGGACGTAGACCGTCTGCTGGTGTTTCACCGTTTTGTAGCCCCCTTTGTTCAGTCGCGCCGTGTGATAAAAATATCCCGCCGTCACCCCCTGGTGGAGAGAGAGAGAGAGAGAGAGAGAGAGAGAGAGAGAGAGAGAGAGAGAGAGAGAGGAGGCGTCCATTAACCTCCATGAAGTTCGCGTTTGGTCACAAACCAGTTAAAAACAAGAGTCTCAAGAAAAACTGCATTTTAAATTTTTTGTCCTAATCGAGGGGAGGGGGTGGAGGGGGCAGTACAGGGTTGCACGGTGGCGCAACAGTATCAGTTATTGGAGCACAGAGCCCCCCCCCAGCTTTGAGGTAAAGGGGAGTTTCGTGTGAGATTTGCACACAGATTCTTTCACAAACCCACAGGCGGACCTGCATTCCCAACCTTGTTTTCACAGAAGCCCAAGAACTGTCCTCACCGGCTTGAGCCCCGGCCAGGTGACGTTGGGTGCGTTCAGGGACCTAACCCTTAAACGGGACAGCGCAAACTAAAACCAGGGCTGACTGACACCATCCGTCACACCCAAGCTGCATCTTTTGTCTGGAAACAGCAAATCTCTGTCTGTCATTCCGCTTACACTTACTGGCTCACACAGAGGGCCACTAAAGCTAAATGTTTAGAATAAAGAAATATAAGCAACGAGATCCTCTGAAATGACAAAGCTTCCAAAGATATCAGTCAGCTATCGGTTCAATTATCGACCTTTGAGTCATAACAGATGAAAAACGGCGTGGAACCGGACTAGTAAAACCAACACCCGTCTTATCTCAAGTGCCTCAGGGGTGCGTTCCCAACACGTGGGCCCTGATAGGACGTGCGTCTTGGTACAACGCTCTTGTTCCAGGAAGCATCCACTCGCCCCGCGTTTGTTCTCTCCCGCCTCCCTGTGGAGACGTACAGGACTCATTAAACCGCCGTTGAGCCCGAGGGAGAGTGACCACATCAAGGAGAAGCACATATTGACCGCCGCTGGTGGAGGCACCACCTGCACCGGCGCCACAGGCCTTTTGAATCTGAACATTCAGGCTGATGTTCCCGAAGACGCATCGCTTCTCTAAAACCAGGAACCATTGGCGAGGTTTTCCCGGGTCTCACCGACCTTGCGAATGGGCAAGCTGTCTCCCTGAGAGCTCACCACCTCCACCTCGATGCGCTCCATCAGACCCTCCAGCTGGTCCCGGACGTCCCGGGCTCTCCTCATGGAGCGGAACTGGATGAAGTTCTCGTAGCACCACTGCGTGGAGTAACCGCTCTCCAACCACTGCGGGGCACAGAGACACGATGTCCGGCATGTCAGGGCCACACCATGGGAGGGGGTTCTGGGCCGGAGATCTGCACCCAGTGGTGCGTGACAGACCGGTAAACTTGTACCTGCGTGTAGACGTTGAGCAGCACCAGGTGGTCTCCTCCCGGCACCACAAAGTTCATCCTGGCGTTGTCGGCGTGCACCACCTTGTCTTTGGGCCGGTAGAAGATGGAGTTGTTCACGGACAGCATGGCGGCTATCGTCAACACCTCCTCGGAACACTTGTACCTGGAAGGAGACGAGAATAGGAGTGTAAACAGTAAACAGGAACCCTGCAGCGCTGACGTACACAGGACTTTCTCTATTTAAATAGTTATTAAACAAGACTTACTGCTCGGAGGCCAGGACCATCTTGCTCAGCATGGGGTCCACCGGGAGCTCGGCCATCCTGCGGCCCAGCTGAACAAACACCAGAACAAAGGCGAGGACATCAGAGGAACGTTAGCCAGGACTACGGTAGGCACCGACGATCCGGAGGAACATCCTCTCACCCTCAATAATCACCGAGAAACGAGACGCGCTTGCAGGAGCGAGCGAGTCCTCTCCTGCATCGGCGCTCCTCCCCCACGAAGTGACTCAGGGATTTACAAAACTCAAACTCACTATTATGCCTTGAGGCAAGAAAGTTCAGTATCTTTTCTGAGAAGTTCAGAATGCTTTTTCAGCAGATTATTCTCCGGCGGTTCATCGCTACGAGCAAACCCGTTTCACATTTCCATCTGACACACAGTTATTGTAAAGATGTCAACCACAAGCTGGACGCGTGACGGACACGGGCTCCGGGTCCGGTACCTTGGTGAGCTCTCCCAGGTGGTTCAGTGCTCCCAGGGCGTAGAGCTGCTCCAGCGCCAAGACCAGAGTCTCGTGAGGGGGTGGGTCCATGAAGTCGAAGTGAATGAGGTCGTTGATTCCTACAAGCAAAACGTGTTAACTTATTGCACAGCCGCCAAATACCGCCCCTGTCAGCTTCCTCATTGACCCCCCTCCTCCCTCCTCCTCTCCTCACCCAAACTCTTCAGCAGGAGGACCACATTTCCCAAGTTGGTCCTCTGAATCTCGGGCACCGTCGTTTCCTCCATCTCGTGTTTGAAGGCCCAGGCTGTGTAAAGCCTGAAGCATTTCCCAGCAGCCACTCTGCCTGCGCGGCCTGCCCTCTGGTTGGCCGAAGCCTGCAGAACAAAACAGAATAGAACGTTTAGAGTACGACGATATCCCGACGTGTAGCACGAGCGAAGGGGACGGTGTAAAGTGTTACGCTCTCAGGAGAACAGCGGGCGCTTACCCGCGAGCACGGCGTGACGATGAGCGACTCCATGCCGGTGCGCGCGTTGTAGCTCTTCTGCTTGCAGAAGCCCGGGTCGATGACGTAGATGATGCCGTCTATGGTCAGCGAGGTTTCCGCTATGTTGGTAGCCACCACCACCTTGGATTGACAGGGTGGAGAAGGCGCCGCGGGATAAAGCGAGTTGTTAGAAGGGGAGATTAAAACCAGCTGTGAGGCCGGGCCTTAACCTGTGGAGCAGGGTTAGAAAACAACAACTAGCATACGGCGTCTCCATGGCAACGGCGGCCTCTACTGAAGGAGGATGGCATTGACGTTCTAGTCCGACGTACGGCACAGGGGCTCACCTTGCGGGCCCCCGGGGGGGTGGGGTTGAAGATCTTCGCCTGCATGTCGGACGGCAGGTTGGCGTAGATGGGGAGGACCAGCAGCTCCGCGATCTTAGATCCCAGTCGCCTGCATCGCTCCTGGAGCAGCTCGCAACACGTCTCAATCTCCTCCTACGAGAAACGCAAAGGGGACAAAGATTCAAACCACAGCACGAATTTACTCTCTGCAGCAGCAACATCCCGCCCTCCCACACGCGCCATTTTCATTTGGTCCAGACCAAGAACAGACCTCCCCTCATTTAACCAATAACAAAAAAAATCCAACTTTTCTCATAACACACATGTGTGGAAAACCCAAAATGAATACGGCTGCACTCACGATATTCTACAGATGTTGGTCCACACAGTTAAAAAAAAAAGGTATTTAAGAACAAGGATACTGATAATTAGGATGTCAATCATCACCCCCCCTCGCCCCCCCCCTCCCACACCAGTCCCACTGTGACGAAGCAGAAACCCCACCTGTCCAGTGAGGAACACCAGTACGTCTCCGGTGGGCTGCGTGACGTGGATCTGCAGCACCGACACCACGCAAGCTTCCAGGTAGTCGGCCTCCGGGGCCTTGGGAGCACACACACACACACAAATGAACACACACACCTCTTTAAAGGTGAGAGCGGTGTCACCATCTCTGGCCAGATGATTCAGAGAAGATATGATCTATATCTTCAGCACTAAGCATTCACACGACCTTCTGGTTCTTACTTTGGTGTAGAAAATATCGACGGGGAACCTCCTGCCGGGGATCCTGAAGACGGGCGCGTCGTCAAAGAAGCAGGAGAAGCGCTCCGTGTCCAGAGTGGCGCTCGCCACCAGCACCTTCAGGTCCGACCTGAACCTGGCGATGTCCTTGATCAGACCGAACAGGATGTCCGTGTGGAGCGTTCGCTCGTGGGCTTCGTCGATGATGACCACGCTGGTGAGTGAGACAGATCGATTAACAGACACTCTCGCTTTCCCAAGTAAGAAAATGATGACATTGGATGTGATTCTTCTCTCGTTACCTGTAGCTGGCCAGGTCCGGCTCGGTGAGAAACTCTCGGAGCAGCATGCCGTCCGTCATGTACTTCAGCACCGTCCTCTCTGATGTGCAGTCCTCAAAGCGAATACTGTAGCCCACCTGCAGGTGGACAGCGGGAAGAACGTCGGCTCGGGGGAAACGCTCTACTTTAGTGTGTTAAAACAAACCCGAGATGGAGCTCACCTCGTTCCCGAGCTTGACGCTCATCTCCTGTGCCACCCGGGACGCCACTGACATGGCTGCCACTCTGCGAGGCTGCGTGCATCCGATCTTCATGCCTCCTTTCGTGTAGCCCTGAGAGAGGATCAAGTACAGTGTGAGAATCCTCTCAGACTTTTCAAACCGTTTTCTCATTATCATGAAGCACTGCTGACTTATAGTTTGATGTTGTCTCGAGTCCACACTCACGTCTTCCAGGAGGTACTGAGGGATCTGAGTGGTCTTTCCCGAGCCCGTCTCCCCCTCGATGACTAGAATCTGGTGCTGGTTGATGGCGGCGAGCAGGTCCTCTCTGTAGGGGAAGATGGGGAGGCTGCGGCGGACCTCCTGCATGGACTGCTTCTTCAGCTCCGCCTGGGACAGCGCCAGGGCCTCCTGCTCCTGAACACCACGGGGTCGGAGGGGGCGGAGTCATTTGGGGGCCGATACACAGAAAAGGACATTTCCACACTGAATGATAAATACTGTTCAGGTCTCACGGCTCAGACGAATGAAATATGAGGCACGACTATAAACAAAGAAGACGACGATACCAAAGTGAACCCTACCTCCTCCGTCCGAGTTCCCTTCATGGTCATGGCAGTGCTGACAAATTCGATCATCTCCTCCTCCTCCAGGATCAGCTGGTACCTCTCCTGCTCCCTCCTCATCCCTTGCTCTCGCTCCCTCTTGGCGCCAAAGCTGAGGGAGGCCGTCTTCAGCCTCTCCTCCTCCCAGCGGCCTTGCTCCCCTCCCAGCTCCATGGGGGTTTCCTCCAGCTCCAGGTCCCTCTGCGGCACCTCCTGGTCGGGGGGAGAAGGAGACACGATGGAACCAATGCACACTCGAGGAGGTGACTGCACCATGTGTGGGTACGCGGCGTTGATGGTTCCTACCTTGCTTCTCTTCTCTTCCGGCATGTAGTATCGGTTCTTCCTCTCCTCGTGTTCCTTGATACCGGCCGACTTGTAATCCTTGGCCAGGTCCCGCAGGGTGCGTTTGTATTCCAGCTCTTTTTTCTCCCTCTCCGTCAGCTCCTCTGTGTGGAAAAGGTACTCGTCGTCTTTGATCTCAGCCTCCAGGTCCTCCAGCTTCTCGGACTCTCTCTTCTTGAGGTAATCCCAGCGAGAGCGCTTCCTCAGCTCTGGCAACTGCAGAAGGAAAGAGGAAATGATCAGAAACGCTGTGTTCGAACGCCGAGGAGAGCAGAGAGGATTTATGCGGCACAAACAGAAAACTCGACTACCATGTTCTTCTGATCGTCTTCAGCCATCTTCAGCCTCTTCTGAGCTTCCTCATAAGCCTGGAGAGAAAAATAGCCAAAACAGGGGTTTATTTTCACGATGCTGTCGGTCATCTCTAAAAAAAAATGCCAATTCCATCTTGTCCCACCTTTTTGTCCGTCCTCTCCGTTATGTTACGGGTCTTGTCTTTGTCTTTCAGCTTCACTCGCTCAGCAAACGCATCTCTCTCTTCAATGTCCTGCTGTCGCTCTCTCTCTTCCTTCTCCCACTCTTCCTCCTCCTCCTCCTCCTTTTTGGGAGACTCGTGGCCCTCATCAACTCTGAAGTTGGAAAAGAAAATGCATCAAACCGCAGCTTCTGCACAAGGTCACGTTTGTTTTCACTACTAACAATTCAAGTCTAACATTACAAAATAATGCTGTTTATCTATTTGCTGTCTCCGTGGTTGATTAATGGTGTGACAGTACGGGCGTGAACGGTTTCAGTTTAACAACCTCACAAAAACAGGTAAAAAGGAGGGGATGAAAGCTTTCCTGTGGTACCATTATTTATATACTTGAATGGAACAAGTAATAAAGACCCGTCGAACAAGCACAATGAAATCCACATGAGGTTTCTGGATTACCTTTTAGGTGCTTCGTCCTCACTCGACGACGCACTTTGTTTCTTCTTCCTGATGTGCTTCCTCCTGTTTCCTCTGTCTTTGTCCTTTTTCTTTTTCCCTTTCTCCTTTTCCTGCACAGCTTCTCCGTCGCTGTCGCTGTCCTCCAGTAACGTGTACGTCCGATTCTTCTTGTCCATCTCAATGGCTTCCCGTTCCAACGCCCGGGCTGGTTTCTCGACGACTTGCTTGCGAGGAATCTGGAAGAGGCAATTTGGTTGAGAAGATTGCTAAAGGCTTCATAAGTTTAAAATCCATACGAATGAATACATATGTTATAGCATGCAAAGAAGGGGGATGAGTGTAGAATAAACCTTGTCGAAGAGCTCTTGCGCAAACGTCACCACGCTCGGTTCGATGTCAATCGTGCCCGTCTCCTCCAGACGAGTCACAAAGTCTTGAGAACTCGATGATTTCCGCGCAATGCCGATCATGAATTGAGACACATATCTGTCACTCAAACCCAGGATGTCATGGAGACGGTCATTCACCCACTGCTCTAGATTGGCCATGGCGGCTGAGGAGGGAGCACAACACAAAAACACGGTTATCCACAATGCAGCCGAAGGTGTCAGCCCCCGTAGTCGGAGCGGCAGCAGAAAATACTTTGATTCAATTCCCATTTGAAATGATTAACTATATAGAAACCAAGACATCGCTGTACGCTGCAGACATTATAATACTTAAGACTAATAAATGATTCATACACGTATAGCAGACAAATCACTTTCTCACGCCTCATTTACAGAGTTTTCTTGCATGATGAATTACGAACGGGATCCTTTGTTTTCAGTCTGAAATCTGATAAGATAAGAGTACCACCGAGTGCATTAACAATAAGAACCCCAGTAACAGTCTGCTGGTGGCAGAATATCACAAACACAACCCAATAAAGTGCAACACGACACCACCCCTATTTAAATACACTATAAAATCAACAAATAAACATAGATCGCAGCTAACTAACGTGAAACCACAAATGCAACATGAATATTCTGTAACTGGCCATTCGGCTTTATGACTGACGTTATTTTAAGTACTGGTTAACGTTTCATGCTTTTACTAAACCTGACGTTAGTTTGTAAGATGTTCTGCTTATTTTTCAAGAGGCCTGAGTCTAAACTTAAGATTGAAAACGTGCGATGAAAAGCACCAACGTTGCTTTACTTTATCAGAGAGGAAACCCCGCCGCCAACGTCGCTCATCTGGGTTTCACGTACTAGCTGTTATGGTAGAAGTAGCGTTAGCTAACTTAGCTCACAGCTAACTCGGCTAACAGAGCTACAAAAGAGCCGTTAGCTCGACTCGAAGTCACGCGCTTCCAGTCGGGACTCTCAGTGGATAAATCCCTCCCTTGCCGTGATTCGACGTGTATTCATGCTTTAATGTTTCTCAATACAATGCTAATCAAATGAGATGCTCAATACATGTTTTGCTAGGTTATCTCAACGCACGCTGAGGTAGGAAGCGGAAATACGTCACTCGAAAATGACGCGTGAAAACACAGCCGGGGAGTTTACTGCCCCCGTGCGGCCATCTGAAGAATGACAACACGATCACGTTCCATCATTTCGAGGGTTGAAGCAAGAATGTCGAGTGAATAACGACACATTAAGACGACTCGATTTAGCATTTCGACGCATCCTCCCGTTCGTACATTTCCAGAAGAGTTGAAATTGAGATATAAAGATATCAACGATTAAAATAAAATCAAAACCAAATCCTCACATGGAGGCCATATCCTAACAGTAAAACACTGCTAAATGTGGTGATAGTAAAAAAAATATATGTAACTTCAGCACTATTTTTAACAGTGACACAAATTACAGGAACTACCTGTTAAGATAATTTTCGTAGGTTTATTGTAAGTACAGCACAGGCTAAAAGGGCCAACGTTGCATAGTACATTGAAAAGTACAACATTTTTTTTATTTTACATTATCTTACATATTTACAAAAAGTATTGATACTATATGTAAAGGCAACTATATTGTCTTTATATATCAAGACATTAGGAGTGATTTGTAAAAGTGGGCTGCCCGTTAGATTTCAGCTCACAGATATAAAAATGAGCACACTTCCAAAACTCCTCTATTGCTTTCAATCACTTCAAATCGAGATCCCTGAGAAGCAATTCAGAGCTTGGGATAAAATTATTTCAAGGTTTATATGAAATGGCCCAAAGGCCAAGAATCAAATATGAAACATGACAGAATGGAAAATATGAATGGGGCATGTCACTATGTCACTATGGGCTCCTGGCAGATCCAATTAAATCAGTAATTTACTGGTGTACCAACGATTATCAAGCAAAGTGGAAAAATGTAGAGCTATATAGAAGGAAGGGAAATACAAAGCCTTGTTATTGGAGACAGAATTATGGCATCTACTTGAACAGATGGACGTTGTCACCTGATTTACATCAGAGATGTGGTTTAAAGTAATAAGGAAACACAGATTAGAGGAAGAGCTCGGGCGCCTACGATGGACAGCCTATGATATCACATTTTACTCCTGGTACTCGTGATCCGAGGTCTAAACAACACATCTCATAATATGCACAGTTATTAAAGATGGAAGTGTGGTAAGCTTCAGCAGCTTTACAGCATGCGGCTCAACAGCGGCTGTATGTTTGGGATCCTCATGGAGAGCATATTCACCATGGACCGCAAACGCCTGCAGAGAGTGGTGAGGACAGCAGAAAAGATCATCAAGAATGTCCTACAATATTTTTTTTTTCGGCAGTAGAATTAAAAAAAAGAAGAGAAAGCTACAAGAACCTTTAAAGTTTAAATATCACTATTAACAAGTAATATATTGGCAGAGAATTGGGGTCTAATTCAAAATACTAATAAAATCAATAAATGTTTTAACAAGAGCAACAATAATACTGATTCCAACCCATAATCTATAGATTTCATGTGTTATTGTTACAAGCTTATAGAACGTTAAAGGACTTTGATTCTCTTGCTTGTCGCTCGCCGAGTATCGAAAGCGGATGTGAACTTAAACACCTTCAGAAACCCGCTGACACGCAGACGAGTTCACATCCGGAGTGATGAGGACAAACACAGGAGAGAGACAGAGACAAGCCGCTCAGAGGGACAGACTCTGACCTCCCCCTTCCCCCCCCCCTCCCCCCTCCCTCCTCACTCACCTCCCTCACCTCCCTGCCTCCTACTGCCCCTCCGTCCTCCGGTCTGCTCTTCGCCTGTGGCCGCTCGGAGAGACATGAAGACCCCGCGGGACGCCAGAGGACCCCCGGGGCCGCCGCTGCTGCCGCTGCTGCTGGTGCTGCTGGTCGCGGGAGCGCGCATCGAGGGGTTCCGGCCCGTCGTCATCGTGCACGGCATCTTCGATGGACCGAAACAGTTTAAGACGCTTTCTCTTTACATCACCAAGGTAGGAAGGCTCCCGAACTACGGAGTTTAACCGTGCGAGTGACCTCTGAACTCTGATATTTCAGAAATGCTCAATTACTATTTAAAGGTATGCGTTCAAAAGGTTCCTTATAAGTGAAGTAAATGCACGTGTTATCATCAACAGCACGTGTGATGACTCATTTCAGAATAGTTCATTTATCGAAGGTGTAAATATTACTTTACTGTGGCGCTGCAGGCCGGTAGGTACTGGTGATAATCCATTATATTGTATAAGTTAGTTGTATTGACAACTACAGATCACAAACAACATGTGACCAGCTATCAAAGAAAAATGTGGCTGAAAAGTTGAATATTTGATGCAGAGTAGAAAGTGGAGTAAAAGTATCACACACACTAGTGAAGTTAAATTTGCATTAAGAGTTTGGTTTATCCACTTTATTCAAAGTAAACTTGCTGTTCGTCTTCATGCTTCTTTCCTCGCCGTGAGGACTTAATATTGATTGTTTTAACCGAACTATGCGAGTCATCCCAAAGCATTGATTAATCAAAGCCACTGTGGAAGTGAGATTAAATGTTGTTCTGAAAGCAGATTTCCGATCAGGTGAAAAGCGAGTCGGTCATTTCTGTTCCCTCTTTCGTTTTCACGTTTAGGACAAAGTGAGCGGCTTGATTGCGTTATTATCGGTAATCAGGCTGCGGGTTGATTTAATCACTGAGTGCTTTGTGCCCCCCCCCTCCAGGTGCATCCTGGGACAGAGGTGTCGGTGATCGACCTGTATGACGACCTGAGCAGTCTGAAGCCCTTATGGGGGCAAGTCCAGGGCTTCAGGAAGGCCTTCGACCCCATCGCACAAAAGGCTCCTGACGGCGTCCATCTGCTGTGCTTCTCTCAAGGTCCCCCCCCCCACACTCCCCCCACATGCCCCTAGTACCTCTTACTGACCTTTATTCTTACACTTTAAAAGTTTATACCTCTGTTTGCTGAAGGTCCATTTAATTAAATGAAGAACCTGCATGAGAATTTAAACTTATTCCACACAAAAGGCAGCAGAGGGAAGGCTGTGGATTCCATGACTACACACACACACACACATGTTGAGGTTGGATGTGCCAGAGGCCTCCAGCTTTCGCTTCCACATTTCAAACACAAGTGGCATTTTTGAGTCAGCTGTGTAAAGCGACAGCATCACTTCACCATTTAGAATCAGGTAAAACCTTCCGTTTCATACCTGCCTGGTCTGTCAGATCTTCATGTCGTGGCCTTCTCCCTCCCCAGGCGGTCTGGTCTGTCGGGCCCTCCTGGCCGTGACCCCCGACCACAACGTGCACACCTTCGTCTCGCTGTCGTCGCCGCAGGCCGGCCAGTCGGA